ACAAAAAAGGGGTTCATAAAGAAATAATAATAAAATACCACTGAAAACTAAAACTTATACATTTTTCTTTTCAAATTATAATTATATTAAATTTTATTTTATCTGCACTAAACATCTCATTGGTGACTTATCACTTTTTTTTTCAAGGAGGAAATTTCCGAAAAACAGACATCTATATGGATATTAAGTTTAAAAACAACTATAATTTAATTGTTCATAAAATAAATATTAAGAAGAAACATATAAAATATTTTAATTGCATTCCAAGCAAGAAAAAAATAGATTTATCTTATATTAATGAAAAACTTCGATGAAACCTTTACATTAATTGGAACTGTAAATTCGATACAATCAATATAATAGTAGATATTATATGATTTAGAAAAAATTCATATCAGTGAACTACAAGTCCTACTTTAAGCACGAACAAATGGCACAGATAATTTTACTACATCATTAAATTTATACTCAACAATACCTTCATATCATAAATCACAACTGCAGTTCTTTCACGATAGTGATTTAAGTTTATGCCAAAATCTTTAGCAGTATGATAATGATAATTTGAATCCAAAGCTAGAAATGTCATACTTTTATTTGCTAAACATGCTGATCTCAATGCATCAGTAGTGTTGTATATAAAAGCTTCATCAGGTTTAGAAAATCTAAATAAATATATAAATAGTAAATTAAAACAGATATAAATTTTCACAATTTAAAATTATAAGTAAACATGTATATAAAATATAAATATATATATTATTGTGAGTATTATACTTACCTAAAATATTTGTTAGCAAGTAAGCTTCTGTAACACTGAGTTTCTTTCAATTTTTCAACAAATTGTTCTGTACTCACATGATTTGACATGTTGATTTTAGTTCTAATAAATTATATGGATTAAACATGATTGTCAATATTATAAAATAGAATATCTTACATTTTCTTCTTAGACTTATCCAAATCATTTGAACAATAACTTATTTTGGGGTCAAAAAATATGCTTTTAGACATTTTACACAGAGCTTTATTTAGATAATTTACTTCTAGGTTTGTATCTAAATTAAAGCTATCTTGATTTTCTATTTKCAATGTGGCATTATGTTTTTTAAGAATACTAGCCATCTTATCAGGATATTTATTCATTATTATCTCATGACACTGTTTCACATATTTTGGTCGCTCATTATAAAATGCTTAAAACAAAATTACATTATTAACCTAAAATAATATACTATAGATTAATAACAGAATTATTTACGTACATTTTATTTCTTTTATTAAATGTTTTGCAATATACTTTGCTGGAATAGACACTGTTTGGCAGTTGTAGTATTCAATACTCAGTAATTGAAGCTAAAACATAATATTTACTTTACTATTGAACTATTAAACACTATTATAACATTAATGATTACCATTGAATAAATTGGGTTAAAATCCAAATAAGGATTATGTGGTGTAAACAATAACATAGTAGGTCCATTTTTAAAACTATTATCTAGTATAAGAGATCTACTGCGTGCAATAGCAGGTACCCATCGAGTTGTTAATTTGGTCTCTTGCATTACCYAATTTCCAAGTGTTTCATGATTAATAAATGATTCATTAAAAGCCTTGACATATTTAAGAGCAATTTATAATTTATTTTAAACAATTGTATGCATAAAATATTCTCTATTTTTAAATATTAGTATATTCACCAATGTGTGGTTCCATAGAAGTAACTTAATCAAGGGTTCTTTACTACTTAATGGCCAAGTAGCAACACACCATTTTACATAAATTTGTAATGGATCGGCTTTTAAATGATTAATCGCTGCATCCAAAACAATTTTATACATATCCCATCCTTGAGTAGTTTTAAAATCGACAGATGCTACTAGAACATTCTGATAAACAATAACCATTATATTATAAACTGCTTATCTGTTATGATAATGCACACTTTTAGTAAGTACTCACATGATATTGCTGATGGACTTTTAACAAATCCAATTTGCTGTTCAATAATTTTACTGGGCGCTTCATAGTGTCTACAAAACGTGTTATATATGCTGCATCATCTGAAGGTCCTGCATAATAAATCCCAACTTTGTTGTAATCGTAAGCAACTATCATAGGATATATTTTATTTCCTTTAAGTACTTTACTGCAAATACTTTCTGGTTGCCAACAATTAACAGCAGCAAAATATACCTTAAATTAATAATATGAATTAGCACACATCTAGTAAAACGTTTTATTTCAGTGTTTTTATTACTTCTTCTTTGTTGTTTTCACATGCCTCAATGAACGCTTCTTGAGAATTGATAGAATCAGCATCCCATGGTGCATAGAACATTACAACTGCTATGTCAGCCAGGGTAGCTTTTTCTAACACAGATTTTAAATCACCTGTGTAGAAATCTTTGACACACGAATTAGCACGAAAAAATGGTTTTGGTTTGGGGCCTTTGACATCGTAATCATTTTGTCTAAAATTAAGAATACAAAAAAAGATTATACAACAAATACAAATTGGTTTCAAAACTGTGTACTTATACAGCTTACATGTTTATTATAGTTGCGTATGTAGTGCACGTAACAAAAAGTGCAAACAACAACTCTTTTCCTAGCCGTCGGACGAACATCTTCAACTGCTTGTACCGATTGAATGCTTGTTGAGTACCCTCATCCGGTTGTTCCTTGATGGGTTCTTCTTCCACTACGGTTTTCATTATTCAACCTCATTGGATCCGGTGGATTTCAAGACTGTTAATTAACACACCGAGCGACCAATACTGGTCGGCACTTGGTTCCTTGATTCGATAACTACTTTGACCACGAATATATATTGAATTATTGAAGGAGCTCAGTTTTAAGACGTGTATGCGGCGAACAACACTAAGTCAAATGATAAAGAACCAAACTGATAACTAATTCGAACCAAAGTTTGTAAACAGTTTACGTATTATGTAATACGTGTATCATAACGATTATTAACATATTATTTTGTAACATAAGATGAATGGCAGAGCAAAACACTGAAAAACCGATACGTACGATGATTTTATGCTGTGCGGCAAATAACTTTGATAACACAGTTTATTTCACTGATAACCATTAGTGGTTAACTGATAATGATAATCAGTTGTGGACGACGGACGTTGACAGTTGACATATTTTGGCATTGTTGACAATCTCATCTCATTACTTTTACTTTTACTGCTCGGTGCTGGGTGCTCGCCACGACGCGTCGACGCCACCTTATAAATGAATTATTTGCTGTATACTTACTGCGATACCAGTTACGGACGCCGGAGGATTTAACTCCAATTTAAAATATCGTTAATCAAATAATACTAAAAAAAAAAATCACTTAAGTATCTATCATCAATTCACTACAAATTATAGATTTATGACATTTGTTCTTACCCTATGTCAGTTACCAATAGAGATTATTCATGATCATAAAATCATGACGTGTTCGCTCACTGATTAACATATTTCGAATTTCAATWTCAATTAATTCGACAAGATGCATTTTATTACCTCCACTCTGGGATTTGCCATTTAAATTTCTGTAACCAATAGTTGTCCGTGTTTAAATTGTTTGTTTTTTTTCTTACAAACAAGTATATGTGCCATATTTCTACTAATGACGATAATWACGTATCGCTACGTTGTAATTTTTCAAATATGTATAATTTATGTGGTACAGCGATGCAGTGATTATATAAATATACCAATCTAATGTATCTTACAAATATAATAACGTTCATACTTAATTGTAAATAATTTAGTTGTCAATGTAATCTAAACCCAAAGTAATTAAAATGTTGTAACCCAATGGCCTATGTCGCCGAGGATATATTTCGATTAATAATAATAATAAAAAAAATAGCATTAATAAATTAATTATTTTTAAATATTGTTCAAAATTAGTTTAGAATGTTTAGAAGAATTATTTCTCACAATATTTAATACCAGTATTCGATTTTTGTAATAAAATCATATTGTCAATCATTAAAACAAATAAAATGTGTGATATTTAGATATGTGGAATTTTGGGAAATTTTCCTAATTTTTTGTATTTATTCATGTTTAATCATAAAATATTAATTATTAAAAATTTACACTAAGATATCGAATGAAAACAATTAATTGTACAATTTCTTCAAAAAACTTAGAAAAACATTCCAAGTCCCATTCCTAATGTTGAAGATATTTAGATATATATATATATATATATATATATTGTGTAACTGTCGGCGTAATCGAAAAAAAATTACAAAAAAATGTGGAACGCTTCACGATTTTGCGTGTCATCCTTGCGCAGGGGCCATGCTAATCTTCTCTGTATCGTTCCAATTTTAGTATATGTACTGCCGAAGCAAGTACATTTGCTYCTGTGGTTTCACCAGTATATATACTTTGCATTCTTATCATATCGTCACTTATGAGAGCTAGTCAAAATTATTCGGTGAATACCGTATTAYATTAACGTAAACGTCACGTTGAACAATTCTTACCGATAGATCGCAGCACCGTGATACTTCTTCGCTCTCCGATTATGATTGTTTTGTTTTTAGTTTTTACTATATTATGTATTTAGCCTATAGGCTATAGGACCAACGTCCAACAATAATGATTATAATATTAATATATTATGTATGCAGTTGTGACCTCTAAATATTACCAATGATTTAAAACATGGGCGTCATTACTCAT